GCACTAACTCGAAGCAAAGCTGTTGGGTTGCCTTCAATCCAATAGATGTAACTAGTAAGTGAGATCGAGCATTAAACGTGTTGCCCAGTGCTGGTAGGGTGGTGTGATGGGCAGGGGCAGGGGCAAATACCAGCAAATGCATGAAGGAAGCGCCGTTTCCTAGATCTCACGTGCGTTCCTCAAGTTCGGCGAGATGTAATGGATCCTTGCACCCTGGCACACATCACTAACATAAATATATGAGTGGTGTAGAAACTACTTTTGCAGCTCGGGGCAGTGGTAAAATGTTCGCCCTGACTGAGGGCAGAAAAAGCGGCGAATGGCACACACATTAGGTTTCGCTGAAATGGATGATGATCACTGAGGTAAATGTGATGGAAGTAACCACAGTGGACTAAGTAAGGCGGTTGCTGGGAAGAACGTTTGCACTGGTGTGAAACATGGCTTAAACGTGTTGTTGGTCCTATAGTAACATTAGAATCTTCAGCCCTCAGATTATCGGGATATTATGCCCATTATGTTTGGAATCGAACAATAGACCGTACTAAAAGTATTGCCCACTGTCACCTGCCGCCCGGAGCGGACCGGCCCTTGCCCCCCTATGCTACGCCTCTGAAGTGTCAATAGCATCAGATGGAAAGGTCAAGAGTTCGAAGTGACGAAGCGAATGCACGAAAGTATGCGTCACTGATTTTGTGGACGCATACAATGAAGGGGAAGCTTAACTCGCTCTGTACTCGGTTCGTTCCCCTTAAGTATCCAAAAATCGGACCTGTCAAACCGCATTGGTTTGATAGGGAATACAGACAGTTAGCGCGACGGCGTCGTAAACTTTGGGATAGATACATCAGCTCGGGTTGTGATGAAGATTACACGGTGTACAAGAAACAGCGTAACTTATGTAACGCCGCAAAGATCAGGAAACGCCGGCAGTTCGAAGAGGAGCTAGCATCCTCGGCCGCAACTGCACCCAAGCGAATATTTGCCTACTTGAAACGTCAACTGAAACCTGGGGACGACCTACCGGTCTTAGAGAGCTTAGACGGGAAGACACTCATTTCAAGCGCGGAGCACGCGGACGCCCTGGCTACGCACTTCCTCACTGTATTTTCCAGTAAACCGGCGGCTGTTCCAGTACCGACACAGGTTGCGCAAGTCTTGCTCGACAGCCTACAATGTGATGCAGTCGAAGTGTACCAGCTACTCGTCAACCTCGATGGTGCAAAGCCCCCCGGACCAGACGGACTTCACCCACTAATACTCAAGTCCCTATGGATTATCATCTCACCAGCTGTGACAAACCTTTCAATAGATCGCTCTCTGAAGGATTCGTTCCGAACGACTGGAAATGCTCGATAGTTAAACCGCTTCCCAAGGGTGGTGATCCGAGTAAAATAGAGAACTATAGACCGATCTGTTTGACTTCGGTATTATCCAAAGTTCTCGAGAAGGTTGTGAAAAAGTGTCTGCTGTCGTTCTTCGAATCGATGGACATATTGACGCCAGCGCAACACGGCTTTATGAAAGGGCGATCCTGCATCACCAACTTGATGTACGCAAACCACCAGTGGGTTCGAGCTCTCAATGAACAGAAGGATGTTGACGTGGTCTACATCGACTTTAGTAAGGCGTTTGACAGAGTGAACCACGAGGTACTCCTTCGTAAACTGAGGACATACGGAATCGGTGGCACGTTACTTCAGTGGATACAAGAGTTTATTGTGGGACGAAGGTTTAGAGTACAGGTCAATGACTATCTGACAGAATGGTTCCCATCGACCAGTGGCGTGCCTCAAGGAACTGTACTTGGGCCAGTATTATTTCTCAATCATATCAACCATCTTCCGCAGCAGCTCCAGTCACCATGTGTCCTGTTTGCAGATGATTTGAAAATCTGGAGGATCATTGAAAACCAGGAGGACTGCGCTCGCCTCCAGCATGACTTAGAGCAACTGTCAACATGGTCCATTGAAATGCAACTCCCTCTTAACGCAAGCAAGTCGGAGTTCATCAGTATCACCAGACGTCCAGCCACTCGATCATACACCTTGGACGGCCAGTTGCTCCATCCCAACACATCTGTCAGCGACTTAGGAGTTCTCTCATCATATGATTTAAGATCACTAGAAAATACAGAGAAGTTGCACCGTGCGGAACTTCGTATGCTCTGGGCATTAAGACGCAGTTTCTCCACATGGTCCGAAGAAACCGTCCCTCGTCTATTCACCTCGCTCATTAGACCAATCCTTGAATACGGTGCCCCAGCTTACCATCCGATAACCCAATGGGAAACTGAAAAGCTGGAGAAAATACAGCATATCGCAACTAGAATGATACCAAGTCTACGAAAGCTTCCATATGAAAAACGTTGTGAAAAGCTCGGACTCTACACACTATCCTATCGCCGAGTAAGAATTGATCTTATTATGACCCATCGAGTACTACACTTGAATCACTTCCCCATACTACGGCCAATATTTCACCTGCGAGAACCCTGTAACACCCGAGGACATCGTTACAAACTCAGGGTCCCCAGCATGAACAAAGTATCACATCAGCTTTGTATCGAACGAAGAATCGTAAACTTATGGAATACACTACCAGAAGGATTAATAGAGGCCGATTCTGTGAAGTGTTTTAAAACCCGTATCGACGATTATTTTGGAAACCTGTGCTTTTGTGAAACGATGCACATACAGTGCCGAAAGAAGACATTGTATGTCCAGAAATAATGACGCTAGTACAAATTTCTAACCGAACACGGATAAACGATTAACAGACCAGACACAACTGCTGATAATTCACAAGTAAATTTTGATTTTTCGTAATTCGATAGAGTTGTACAGAAACCTTTCTACTTGCTCTTAAATACAGTCTCAGTCTCAGTCTCAGAATGGGAAAAGATGTCCAACCATTGATATTGTCGGTCACGAGAACACCATTCGGGGAGATGAGAAGCATCAATCCAGCTTAGTCTTTCGATAAGTTTCTTCGTGGTATTTTATGCCAATGCAACTAACCGACCACATGGTTCTATCCAACTACTTGTAATATTGCCAAGTAATGCACATCGTAGTAGCCAGCTACCTGGCTTATGGAGCACAAGCCACAGCCATTGAAGGCAATCGTCCTGCGTAAAGAACTATAACGAGCCAGTGCAAACACTGTTCCGGAACAGCAAACGAAGAGATTCAATGCTACTTAATCGTTTCTTTTACGGGCAATCATGCAGAGACGTAGCAGATGGGCGAGGGAGGGGCTGTCCGCCCCCGGCGACATTTGACAGAGGGCGGTAATTTTGTACCGTTGATTGTTCAATACCAGATATAAAGGGCAAGATTTCCACATAAGCTGTGAGTTGAATATTAATGTTCCTCTGTATAACAAACAAAACCTTTGCACTATGTGTCACACCTGTGCAAACTTTCTTCCCAGCGATCCCCTTAGTTGTCCCATTCACCACAGTTACCTCAGTGTCCCAGGTAATCATCCATTTCATCGAAAATAGTGTGCACTTTGACATGAGCGGATTGTATGGCCTTCGAATTTACAACTGCCAAGAGGGGGGGGGGCAAATTTTACCACCTCGCTGGGGGTGAAAGTAGTTGCTCCGCCACTGAAATCATGGTCAAGCACCTCAATCCCTAAATATTCTCCACACCGTGTTTCGCGGTCACGACAGGTGACGGAAGATTTAAAAATACATAACAGCCTGTACCATGCGTGCAGTAACTCTTTCGATGATTTGGCGATCGAAGGAGATGCAGGTTCAAGTGGTTGTTTGGGGATGGTGAGCACTGGTGGCGAGTTTGCCCAGTCTTGCAACAACGCTTTGTAGGTTGAAGGAGCAAACCTTACGTCGAAGCGTGTAGCGCTACGCGTCAACTCCCATAATTGCACTTGCATGGCAGCTGCCCTCCAACTCAAAGACGGCTGTGTTGTCTGCAGAGTTTGGGTTTGGTAGTAAGGCGTCCAGCCGAACATCGATCAGAGATGAAGTTGATGGAGACAGAAGGGAAGCATGCATGGTTGCTTCGATTACCAAGTTGAATAGAAATGGAGAAGCACAGCACCTCTGACGCGCCCTACGTACCGGGACGAACCGTGCATCTTTAGGTGGCTAAGGGAGTCGTAGTATGGGGATTTTTGTGTATAGTGAGATATCCCCAACATGCTACTAAACGATGAATGCAATGATAAACAGACGCAATCAGTAAGCTCTAAAGTAACTTTCAAGCCACGGAAGAACACCAGGATAGGTTGTTTATAATCATCGTGGTGTAACCGATACCATTTTGACACCGTTAGTACATAAATCGTGGATAGTAATGGGTTTCCGCACTGGAAACGTGTAAGTGCCATCGGATATGCCTTAGGTGTGACCTATCGGAATAAAAGCGACAAATACCGAGTTCATTTGCAGCTCCACGACAAGAGTTTACTAAGTAATGGGACACGTGAGCACTTTTTGTTAAGCGGAGTACGATCTGCATGCAGATCAGAGACCACGCGTCCAATGATAAAATGTACCTAATCTACCCAAACATTTCGAGATCCGCCCCCAGCTCCAACAAGTGGTCCATTGTAATTTGTATACAGTCTACGGTGACAGTGTCCGACTCTAAACCCCAATGTGGCTGGCTATCTGTTCTGATAGAGTGGTGCTGTCTCCTTGACAAAATTAGGGACAAAATCGTAGAATTATTTCCACTTTACATCCTTTTTACTCTATGTATTACTGTTACTAAAACTCATGTGATTAGCCGTAGTGGTCCTACTGATGCAACACCTAAAAATCATCCAACTTGCATTTCCCGTGCGTTCAGATGGAAGTGCTTTCCCCATGCCACATCATGTTCAGTTTTGCCTGCGAGAATTTGCGCAAAAAACCCGGCTACACCTGTTCTGTGACTAAACTTATGTTTACATATCGCAAAAGTAAACAAACTGGTTGTGATTTTGCATTGCTCATTGCAATTCCGTCAAAAGTGTACACTTACTTTGAAATATTTCTGCAAGTCATCCACATGCTTGAAAATTGACTTGTCGAAGAAAACGTGTTCGTGTTTCCCCAAGTCAATTATTCCCCACAGTTTGGCAATGTGAAAAATACGGCCACATTTATTAATCAGGGCTCTTCCGTCTACGTCAGATGACTTGGTGCCCGTGATGACGATATTGACCATTCGTTTCAGTCGTTTGTTTCTCACTAAGACGATTTTGCGCTCCGTTGCGTTACTGCTTGCACGAAAATCACCGGCGGTTATTAGCGCCTCATCAACTGTTGCCGTAGAGTACATTTCAAAAAAGATAGAGCGTTTTAGAATAAACTGCTCTAGCTCCAAAATTGTCCATCCGATGGCGGATTGAATAGGCTCTTGAGCATTTGTCGAGATTATCTGCATTAGCTCAGAGAGACTTAAGCCTCTTTGAAAATGAGCACCACCGCATTTTTCGAGCACTTTTCGTATAAACATGGTCGCACGATATTCATCCGCGGACATCGTGATGCTTATACTACTGGAGTCGCAAATACCGGATACTCCCTCAGGATCGGTTGAACAACTGTCGCCAAAAGTTGATATTGTCTGTAGTTCTGTGTTATCAGTTTTATCCGAAGATTTCCGGTCTGGGTAACCTGTTGGATTGAAAGCGGTAGGAGTATTTGGTGCTGAAGTATTTCTCCCTGGATGGCATAAGCTACCGTAATGTTGAATTTGGGCACTAACGGAGTCATCGAGAAAGTGTGCCGAACGTCTGATTTCTGAGCTGTTTCTATTCTGTGTACTTCCCACCGGGGTAAACGGTGATGGAAGAAGTTGCTGCGTTCCTGAGAGTATGAGAGATTTCGGTCGAGGCGAACGTTCTACCCCAGTGTTTCTTAAAGCCGCGGTGGAGGACTGAGTGGCTCCGGAGTAACTAGCTGACAAATTGGTAGTTGACAGACTTGTGTGCAGTGCTGCAAATCGGTCTCTGGGTTTACGCTGGAGCTGGATATTCCGGAGCGGATCCCTCACACTCACCAACTCTCCTTGAACTTCGAACACCTGTGGATGTTTCAGCAAAAAGTTTCGAAATTCTAGCTGTGGTCCAACAACAGCACGGATTTCTGGTGTTGCTTGTGAAAGGTTACCCGCCAAGCTTTTGATTTGAACCCATCGTTCATCCCTCTTGAGCAGTTTTTGTTGAAAAAAGCGCACTGCTTCGGTTTCCATCATTAGCCTATCTAGAGTAGGTATTGGACATGTGTCGCAAACCCGTGTACCAGATGGTTTAATACCTGCTGTGTGCCCAACTCCGGGATGGCAGCAGTGACACAAGGGAGATGCAGATATCTGTGCACTGTCGCAAAAGCAGTGCGCGGTCGCGTGGTGATGATGATGCGCTACGCGGCAAAGGTGATGACAACTCAAATCTATCAGGGGACAGTGAACACATGTGGTATTAGGGACAGAGGCAAGAGGATTGGCTGCTACCTGGTTGCAGCACACTGTTTTCTGTGTGCAAAATCCGCAGCCAATTCGAGTCTGCGTACGTAGATGGGGTGGTTTATATATCCCAGACTGAGTGGACGGAAAAGAGGACGGATTGGATCTCCGGCGCACCAAATGGAATGTGGATGATTTTGCACCATAGTGATCGTGAATTTCCGAATTTGTGCTCACCGCGGGTTTACCATTTAGGCTGGATGTGGCTGAAGGTGTCGAAGCAAGGGAAAGGGAACTGGAGCTGTGAATTTTACTTTTTTCCACGGTTTCGCTGCTTCTTCCTCCCACGCGCAATCGTCCTTTTCCTTGAACTCCTGTAACCTTAGCAATAGGGTTTGGAAGACTACCACTGACGTACTCTTCACCTGCTGAATGGGTGCTTTCATTGCGAATTGATGAACAGGTGTCCGTGTGCATAGCGCAACTCTCCAAGTCTGACATACCTCCACCCGCAGACCAATCCACGCCGGGTAGATCGATGGCCACAGCACTCACTTGACCGTTTGCACAGACATTGAACAACGAAGGGTAGCGTAGCAGAAACTCGCGTAATCCGTCAACGCTCCCGCCGCCGCAAGCTTCTTTCATATCCTGACTGAAAGATTTGTGTGCAAATCGTGCAGCTAATTGTTCCAACGTAACTGGGGCGTCAGAATTCATAAGCACTTCCAGAAAGTACAACATTGCCTTGTGGCTCGGGTCGTTCATCATTTTGTACAGAAACACTTCCCTTCTTTTCAAGTAATCCAAGCATGAAATAGCATCTATGATTTGTTGATGGTGCGCAAGCCCCCAGAACAGAAGTAGATTGGAAACGCGTGAAATAGAAAAGAAAGATTAATGTGTGCAGTTAATTAAATGACCCCGAAAGTTACAGTAAATCACAGTAAATCAATAAAGCTTTTTGACTCACCGATGACAACAATCACACTTCGGCCCATCAGGCATGAGCACATATTTTTACAAACTTTACCAGCGTTCGTTACTGCATGACTACTTCGCGACGAACAGGAACAAAATGATTCATTAGCGCCCCATCACAAGCAACAACATTTTAGTTGGCATCTACAATCTCAGTTAACAACACAGCACCGTTGTGTTCCTAGTGAGCTACGGCATCTTCCTATACGTATTATTATTCGGTCACGATTCATATCACTATGTAAGGTCCATGGTATTGCTCACCAGACTATGCTATCTACATCGTGCTCCTTGAAATCGTTTTGTAGATTACATGACCCTAATTTGATCAGCAGCCCAGTGCTAACTAGCAGGATGTTTTGAGAGTCGATGTATCATCGGATAAAGCTTCAGTCCATTCATGTGCTCATTCGTACTTGACGTGCGCGCGGAGTTTCCGAGCGAACTGTGCTGTCGATACGGATCAATGCTAGAGTGGCAACCTATTGAGTATGTTTCCAGTTCGGTAGATACTTGTGAACCCAATTGTTACCAGCGGTTGGCCGCTTACAGTAGGCATAAAATGTAAAGTTTGACATCTTGAAGTACACAATGCTCAACAATTGTCCCTCGTATGACCAAGTTGGACCATGCATCCGAAGAGAAATGACCGAGGACCAATCAGTGGCAAGTGAACAATCCCAGCAATGAATGATGAGGGTAAGCATAGCTTTATTTCCCGTCGTTCACCAGCCATACTGAATTTACCGGGGTTTATGAAAACGCAAGTACCAAGCGGATCGAAGACGAAAGCGCACAGACAATTAGCAGAAGTTGAAGTAGACATGCTCAATCTTCTGGATAAACTAAGAAAAAGGTAATGCCCATGGTAATGGTATGTCATTGAGTTTGTATATTACATCGGAAAGGAAGTGTCGCCTAGCGACAATCGTTTTAGGAGCACCGAATGATTGCACCCGAGATCGTTACCAAATAGTTTATGGTCACAGCAGAGTACACAGCGGTAGGTACAAACGGTTGAATACTTGGATGACAGCGATGCTACGTCTAGAATATTTGCGAAACAGTGTGCACATGTTTTAGATAACCGCATGTTTGACAATGAGCAGCGGTACTTTGTTGACCTAGAATGGCAGTAGTTATCTCTCCAATGAGGCCGTAAGCGGCGAATATTTGATATTGACACCTGTCAACGCTTAAGGTTGCGCAAATATCTTACATCGGGCAGCAGATGATCGGACTGATCGGCGACACGGTGTGACTGAGTTGAACACCCAACTTGCATTTGCACGCTGTGAGATCTCCCACTTCAGCTACACAAACCAGATTGGGTATATAGGAGGGGACACTTGAGCACACACTGTTAATCATTGTTAATCATTTGTTAATCATTCTACCTGATAACCGTATTGATGTCAATTGCGTCTCTATTCCTATATCGGTTTCGTTTAAATATGGGTGCCCAATATTTAAGGCTGTCATGTCTAAATGTTAAAGAAAACACCAACACCGTATTGGATACTTATTCTCCTGCATGTGTAATTGGCTGTTAACCTGACCTCCAAACCATACCATACACGTTGTTAGGACTATTTCTCATGGGTTTAATTTGTCTCTAACCATTTTGTGGCAGTTCATACTTAAGTCTGGACAAGTGCGTGTGCATATGTTGTATTCGAACTGCCATTGGACACGGATGAAGCCAATCCATGTATATATGTATACAGGAATGCGGCACTGAGGCAAACCGAAAATAACATTACCAGGATGTAAAGAGAGTGAGCTCATGACAAACTAATGTTGATTTCAGGTGTTACGAATCCAAGACAAAGTTGCCCTGGTGCAGGAGGAGGCACTATTGCACGCGGAATACAAGCAAGATGCGTACGCTCTCATTCTATTTACTAATCCAGACCAATAAGGCGGCGTATGTGGTACACTTGCCTGCGTGATGAGTAATCTTGCATTTCAGAAGTAGATATTGTTTGATTTCCTCGGTGTGGCTATGTCTAATGTGAATGTTGACAAGGTATCTACCTGTCGGATACCTCCCCCCTCGATTGCTGGCTCCAGGAGACAGTTGGTCGTTGTTGGAGGGGACGGGGTTCACCTTCATCGTGACGGGGCTAGGCTCAAAGAGTGGTTTTATGCAACCGGTGTGGAACGGGCTAAGGCCCAGCCATCGCCTTGTGTGCGTCTGATGTGCGTGGTTTCCCAATTAGGCCGGAATGCTTCTGTTCTGTTTGTTGAAGAAGTGTGGGCCGGCTCCCATCCACATGCCTCCCGGTTTTATTCCTTCGGGTTTATACCTGGTATGGGGTGTGTGGGTGGAGCTGTGGATGGTGCAGCGCAAGCCACTCATGGTCCTTTTGTAGGTCCAGGCGTCCTGTGGCTGTCCGCTTGGAGGCCACAGTGACAGGCAAATCCGGATACGGATGCCGTCAATCCAGTCCAATCAGTACAATTATACGCTCGATAAATAGGCGCAAAGAACTCACATTGGCGAATCATCCAGCTTGATTATTACTCCCGTCCATCATCCCTCTCTGTAATTGAGTTTCGTTCATATGCTGTACTCGCTGGTTGATAAGGGTAACTTTTGCCTGTTGAAGCACGGCAGTTGTCCATGGTTATAAGGCTAATAAAATGCCAACGGCAGGTAGGCTTATTCCAGGACGAAGGGGTATAGACTACACCTTTCCAAGACAATCGCATCCACAGTACAGCCGAATTGCTATATTAAAAATGCATGTTCCTCCATAAGGCTGATTAACTTCGATCCTAAGGCAATCAAATTGCATCTAATGGTGTGCACACCCACATAAGTGCGTACTCGTCGTTGTAACCAACCCCAAATCAGCCAATAGTATTCGGAGAAATACGCATGCATGTTGAAGCCAAACCCATCTGTGGTGCAGAGCACTCGCGCTTTCGAAGGCGCTAGCAACAACTAGTTACGCTGAAGCTAGGATCACGCAAGCTACGAAATATTCGCGTGGTCAAACTTACATGGGCGGCAGTTGAGGCTACATCGCCCTGCTTCATCCGCTCAGTCCGTAGTCTCCTCGGGCACTAGCATTGGACAATGGAGGATTTGAGAGCTGGCGCTTATTCACGAAATAGTCTAAATCATAAAGGCTGGGACGTGGAAGCAACACGGTCAGCTCGCTTCCTGAGTCGAAAGGAAAACAGACTCGGCACTGAGCATTTCCGAAAACGGGGCCAAAACGGACGTGAGAGTGTGTCCGGAGTAGGCGGTGTGATCAAGCATGTTGTGAATGAAGTCAAAACGGTTACACAAAGAGGGATTTAGAGGGCAAACGAGATGTCCGTTGGAGGCGAGGGAATAGGAAAAATGCAGAAGACCAGACCGAACAATGTTGAGTTGATACTTCAGTGTGCTCCCCGAAAGAGGCCGATTGGTTACCTCACTTTGATCTCGTTTCACACTTTTTAGATTAGACGAAGTCCTCTCTTAAGAGCACGCCGAGACCGTGCCACTGGAGTCAGCTGACCACAGCGCGTGCTGTTAGAGTTTGTAAACCAAAGAGATCTAATGGGTATTAGGTCGTTTCGCATTGCTGTGTTGGATGATGGGATCTACTGGGCTGACCAAGCAGAAATGTTTGAGTCACTACCATACGGCCACTTGACCGCTCATCATATCTCACTGCCATTTAAGAAAACTAAAGGACCTGAAACGATTACTTTGAAAACAACTGTGATAGACATGGATCACATTCGGTGTCTTGTAGTATCGTGCACTAAGGTGAAATCTGGTGGAGCAGGAATCCTCTCTCGCGATTAAAGATGCAGTTCAACTTACCGTTCAATCTCGGAATCAAATTATCGATAACGTAAGGATGTCTACAAGGTGTTCAACCTAACTTTTTGCATGACCCGGTTATGTGTCGCAGTGGTTATATTCGCTCAGGTTGAAGATAATCATATTCCAATCTGTTAGCCCCTGAACGAAACACACAGGTCAAATGTGATCGAGATACACAGAACAACTCCCTGGAGGAATGATATATTCAGCAACTTAAGGCTAGATAAGTCATCTGACATGTGTAATAGTTGTCGCGTGCAGTCGACGCACCAGAATGTCAGTAGGCGCAATGCAAGCCGTGTATCATGGCGTGACGTGGGGGTACAAGTTGGTTGCGCATCTTGTCGCGTGTGAACTGATGCACGCGATCACTATTACAAGTAACGACAGGCGCTCATAACTTTTGCCACTGTCCATTCAGATGAACATGTGGCCACTATCCCTTTTCGACACTGGGCCCCTGAGCAGTGGATCAAATGGATGTCCCCGTTGTTGACAACTGGGTTCGACGTGCGGACAAACTCATTGACTTCCCTTTCATGTTTCTTACCCTCCTATGAACTCGCCGTCACCATGGTCACCCCGATATGCACTGGAACCAATAAAACCGAGAATGCCGGTGAACTTGCAGGAAACGCAGTGAAAGCTCCAAATGAAGATCTATACAAAACGTTCCCATTGTATTCCTGCACACACCCCAAACATTGACAGCCCTGCATGCGTGAGCACGTTGTACATAACAAATATGATTCGTCCCTTTGTCGGAACGGTTTCTCGGTAACACAAGAAATACATATTGTTAGTAATACTCCGCACACGCTCGGTCGTGTCTGCGGATTACAATGTTCTCATGCATGATCCGCTTCAATAACCTCACTCTTGCCAGCACCAATGGCAGCTGCAGTACAGGAAACGATGTCGGACAGCCCGATAACAGATGATTAGATAGGGAATCAAGTGTTGTCGATGTCAGGGTAAGCGAACATATTCATGAGCTACTAAGCTCTGAGTTCC